AAGCTCGTTGTATCATTGTTGCATCTGGATGGAATTAATTTACCATAAGGTCAATCTGAAAACCAGGTGCTTGTTAATTAGGATAGCCTCAAGTGAACAAGGATCAAAGATAGTTTGTGCAATTTTAGCTGCCTGAATTACAGCAACATGCAACAAGAACTCAATGCCCACTCCCAGCGCCCTGGCTCTGCTGATCTGCTCCCAGTCTCTGGGGTAGGGGTTGTTGTTTCTGTAAAGAAAGAAAATTATTTATCTGTCAGGCAAACAAAATCAGAATGAGTACATTTCTCAAAGTTTTATTCAGAGACTTGGTGATAATAAAGGAGTCCCAGAGGTCCGACTTTGAACAACTGTAAAATGCAACTCATCTGCACTACCGGTGTGTATAGATTTTTGGCCATTTCAGGGACCCACTATGTATCATCTTATTGTTCAGTTATATGCATTATGCACACACATACATAACCATGCAGGATTTGGTCGAGGAGTCAAAGATTATGTAAAAGAGGTTGAAGTAACAAATCATGTTTTAAAGCAGTTTATTATGAAGCCACTGCTTAAACAGACAGAAAAGATATAGGACTAGTAGCAGATAAGACAGTTTGCAACTCTCAAGTGTACAAAAGGATTAATGAAGCAGATTAGTGGTGTCAGCCTCTTCTGTTTTCAGTATTCTTGAACTAACCAAAGTTTTAGACTGGAGCCAGAATGACTCAATTTCTGGCAACTTTTCTCTGTCGAAAGTGATTGTTCCTTCTTGACTGCCAATAAATGTATTTTATTTCGAGGGAGCTGGTGGATCTCTCATGCCAATCACTCATTCAATCATGTCTTCCTATTCAAATGTCCCTCTACGAAGATTGATTTTCAAAGTATACCATTGATCCAGTTTCCTCTGCTCCTGAGGTCATATTATTGCTTAACCCCTATAAGAACATCTAATTTGTTAAACTGACAACAACCTTCATCTAATCAGGCAGGAATATATCTGTCAAGGCCTGTACCTAAAGGAACTTGTCACCGGTTATCTGTCAATTGGCGAATCAAGTCTCCTCAGGGTCGTGAATTTCTTCTGTGCGTCTTCTTGTGACCGAATAGACCAATTCTCCATAATTCTGGCACATGGGGCAAGGTAGTGGTATCTGAAGTGCAGAGTTTGCTTCTTCTGCTTTCCTTCTCTGCCACCTCTCTGCTTCATTGTTAAGGTGTTTGGACTATAAGCATATGCAGCTTAGTGGATAAGTTGTCACTGTTTTAAACTATTTGTAGCATGCTCTTCCAAAATCATCAATGTCAATGCTACCGCACTTCAAGGAAAGTTTCAGAGTGTCTTTCTAGCATTTTCTTTGTCCTCCCTGGAATGTAGGTCATTTTGTTTTTGAGAAAACACAATCTAAAAGGGAGACACTTACATAAGTAGTCTGGACACTGGCTGACCTCAATGCTTGTAATGCCAACCTTCAAGAAGGAGGCCACTCTGAAGGAGCTGTGTAACACAAGTAAAGTCCTTCAGATGTGGAATGGACAACTGATTCTTTTTTTGTTATTTCCCACATATAGAATTTCTTCTCTTTGGACATAGAGAGAGAGAGTGAGAGAGTTATTGTTAAGAAACCAATGCTTCCAAATTTCTCCTCAAGCTTTGATTTCTAGCAGTTCTATCATAATTCTTAGAACTATCATTTTCAAACAATGATGTGTGCATACATAAACTGTGTAAGCAGTTTTGCTGAAAAGGCTATCTGTATCATTATGCATGCAATGTTATACAGTGCAAATGCCAATGAAACACATGCACAGAAAGAACTTGTAAAACGCTTTATCGTGTCCTCATAGTATTCCAATGCATTCCACAGCCAGTGGATTGCTTTTGAATTGCAAACATTATTATATGGTAATCATGCCAGCCATTTTACACAGCTAAATCAGATTAAAATAAACAAGATAAATTATCAATTAAATTTACTCTGATAATACTAAGAAAGGGATGTTGACCGGAGTGCCAGGATAACTCCCTCCTCTTTAGTGCCATGAAACAGTGTATGTAGACCTCAGGCAACATCTCACTTGAAAGACAGTGCTTCCAATAATGCAACAGACTCATCATATTGCACTGAGGAGCCAGCCTAATTATCCATATAAGCTCAGTCTTGGGATTTGCAACCACCATATTTTGAATCAAAGTCCCAGAGTTCTACCTGTTGAACCTAGCTGATACTAACCGCAATTATGCATTTGCCCAAGTTGGCCCACTGTCCACAATAGTCTGTGCTATACCTTCATTCATGAAATTTGGCACATTTACACTGTTCCTGCAGATTTGAGGCTGTGTAGCAGCGGAATCACAGAAAAATTAAGATGCATTTGCTGCATTGGAGAAGTTTAAAAGCAAAACAGACTTTTGAAGCTCCTTCAGAAGAAACCACAGAGAAGCCTATCATATTGGCAACTTACCTGAGCCCATTGCACAGCTGTTAGAATTACTGCAGGATTTCCTCAACACTTTGTAGCAGGTACATTATTAAAGTGGAGATTTTAAGACACCTGATCTTTGCAAAGCACGTGTCTTGACTTCATGAAGCTTCAGAAACCAATAACACTGGATTTGTATGGTGAGATATAATACTGAGTCACAAGAAGGAGATATCGGAGGAGATGACCTAAAGATGGTTAAGAGCTAAGAAGTATCTTGAAGGAAGAAATTAAGACAAAGCGGTGTAGAGGTTTAGGGAGGGAAGTACAGAGCCTTGGACCAATGAAGTTGCAGATACGGCATCTGGTGTTGGAGCAATTAAGATAAGAACATAAGAACTAGGAGCGGGAGTAGGCCATCCGGCCCCTCGAGCCTGTGCCGCCATTTAATAAGATCATGGCTGATCTTTTTGAGACTCAGCTCCACTTACCTGCCCACTCACCATAACCCTTAATTCCTTTACTGTTCAAAAATTTATCTAGCCTTGCCTTAAAAACATTCAGCGAGGTAGCTTCAACCGCTTCACTGGGCAGGGAATTCCACAGATTCACAACCCTTTGGGTGAAGAAGTTCCTCCTGACCTCAGTCCTACATCTGCTTCCCTTTATTTTGAGGCGATGCCCTCTAGTCCGAGTTTCACCTGCTAGCGGAAACAACCTCCCTGCCTCCACCTTATCTAATCTTAATAATCTTATTAATCTTATATGTTTCTATAAGATCTCCCCTCATTCTTCTGAATTCCAATGAGTATAATCCCAGTCTACTCAGTCTGTCCTGATAATCCAACGCTCTCAACTCTGGAATCAACCGAGTGAATCTCCTTTGCACCCCTCCAGTGCTAGTATATCTCTTCTCAAGTAAGGAGACCAAAACTGCACACAGTATTCCAGGTGTGGCTTCACCAGGACCATGTACAGCTGCAGCATAGCCTCCCTGTTTTTAAACTCCATCCCACTAACAATGGCAGACAAAATTCCATTCGCCTTTTTAATTACCTGCTGCACCTGCAATCCTACTTTTAGCAATTCATGCACAAGGACACCCAAGTCCCTCTGCACAGCAGCGTGCTGCAATTTTTTATCATTTAAAACATAGTCCATTTTGCTGTTATTCCTACCAAAATGGATGACCTGACATTTATCAACATTGTACTCCATCTGCCAGACCTTTGCCCACTCACTTAGACTATCTATATCCCTCTGCAGACTTTCAGTGTCTTCTGCACACTTTGCTCTACCACTCACCTTAGTGTCATCTGCAAATTTTGACACACCACACTTAGTCCCCAACTCCAAATCATCTATGTAAATTGTAAACAAGGTTTCTGAAGATGAGAATTAGAGATATATAGAAATCTAGATTATGAAGCTGGACAAGATTTCAGAGATAGGAAAGAACCAGGAGAGGGAAGGATTTGAAAGCAAGAATGAGAATTTTAAAGTCACACAGTTGGCTAACCTTGAACCAGTGCAGGTTGATGAGTACAGAGATAATGGTATTTGGTATGAATTGTGACCAGATCAACAGAGTTTTGGACAGCCTCAACTTTGCATAGAATTGAATCTAGGATTGTGTTAGACCATAAACGATAAGACATAAGAGCAGAAATTAGGCCATTTGGCCCATCGAGTCTGCTCTGCCATTTAATCATGGCTGATAAGTTCCTCTCCTGCTTTCTCCCTGTAACCCTTGATCCCCTTGATAATCAAGAACCTATCTATCTTAGTCTTAAATGTACTCAATGACCTGGCCTCCACAGCCTTCTGTGGCAGTGTTAGAACAGTTAAGTCTGGAGATAACAAAGGGCTTCAACAACATAAGACCTGAGGAAGGAGTGGAGATGGGCTTTGTTGTGGAGGTGTTATTAGACAGTTTTAGTCAATAGGTAAGTGCAATCCCTGCAAGACATACAGCACTAATTTGTAACAGTTATTTAGAAATCACTCTCAAGCTCTGTATCAAAAACAACAGTTATCAGGACTGCATGTTAATTGTGACATACTCTCAGGAACCTTTTGCTATTGTTCAACATTCAGGGACCTGAGTTCATGTTGTCACCCCACAAGAACACTGCAAACATTGACAACACTTTAAGCAGCTCTTGGAAATAATCATGCTTCCTCAGGAATTCTTACTGGTATTGATATGTTGTTGAGGTAGGCCTGGGAGCTATACCAATTTCTTGAATACTGCATCAGCTACACAATGGGAAATCATGTTTTTGCAGACAGTATTCTTCATTAACATAGACTGCAACAGAAATAATGAACAAGGAAGTCAACAAATATAACAACCTGGGCCTCTTAAATCATCTTGCAGAGCCCTGGCCTCTGAGAATCCCCATTTGAAAATCCAGTTTGATGTGTGGTTAGAATTAAGAACTAAGCATTACATGTCAAAAAACAAATTGAGGCACAAATTCAAAGAAGACCCTTCTAAATTATGAGCTTGTGACTGTCTATGCTGAATGTAATTGATCACACTTACCAGTTTTAATTAAGAGTGCCATTGTTCTCTGTTCCTCCAGGGCATCCCTGTGGAGCTCGTGTGTTGTACTCCCATTGCTGGCACTGACCTGGATGTCAGCTGTTCTGGCGATGACTGACAGGCGATCGATTTTGTTTCAAATACTGTTTGCAGTTTTTGACTCCGTTCAAGGCTTTGTTATTATTACAGTCCACTGCTTCCTGAGGCGAGAGGTATGTGCAGTCAAATCAACATCACTGAGCGACAAACCCCCTTCTTATCAGGGGTGTCTGTGCTTCAGTGTAACAATTTAAGCAACATCCTTGAAAAGTACCTATGTTGAAGCTGTCTGTCAGTAAGTTGCTGTGACACATCTACTTAAAGACGGTGAATATGGATTGGCAGCTGGGACTGTTTGTCTCATGTGAGTACCTAAGCACAGAGTCAGAGAGTTTCTGAATCATGCATGAATTGGGCAAGTGACACCCAATACCCACTTCAAACATTTAAACCTGACGGAGATCAATATTTATGAATATGCTACTCAACCACATTGGAACATCATAGTTATTGCATCCTCATTTGGCATCTTTATGCATGCTTGGCACAGAGGAGCCAGTTGGCAGTAATCAGGTGTAGAAGCTCAAAAGAGAGCAGGTTAAAGGTCATTAGAGAACCTCTTTTCTGGTCATTTAACAACACAGCAGATGCTGAAATATGTTTTTCTGCTTTGAATGACTGTCTGAGTACTTGCAGGAGTTTTCTCATTGTAACCTGGACACTGATCAGCAAAAAAGTAAACCAAAACAAGTTCCAAATGTGTTGGCAAATGACTGCATGGTTCAGCATGGGCTAAAGTATGTGTGAAGCTAGGACCACTGAAAGTTCAACTGCATCATCTGAAGCCAGCCTACTTCCACTACAGGGACAGGCACTACAAATGGTCGGGGAAGACTAACCTACAAGGAGAACGAACATGCTTCAAGGTTCCATAATGCAAAATTGGAGGCCTCGGAGTAGGATGTTTTCCACCCTCTCGGGTTCACATAGACACTGTGGCGGCAGTGGGAACAGATAACCGTCACAACCAATGTCAGCAGTGTAGCTTGAGGGCAATGTGTCAGTGCAAGACAAGGTTTAACATGAGTGGTCATGATCAGTGAATGCATTTCCCAATGTCATTTGTTAACAAGTGAACCAGCAACTCCATACACTGCTCAGTTTAATCACACACATTCTCACACACACCGCACCCCCCCGCCCCCAACTCCCTTATGATAATTATCAATCAAGCATGATTTCTCCCTCCCATTCAGGGGGTTGCTTGACTGGACACTAGTCTCTGAGGAAGAGTGATGCTAACAGCATGGGTTCAGTTCCAATCAGCTGAAGTTACCGTGAAGGACTCTCCTTCGCAACCTCTCCCCTCACCCGAGGCATGCTAACCCTCAGGTTAAACCACCACCAGTCATTTCTCTCTAATGACAGAGCAGCAGTATGGTCTGGCAGGACTATGGCAACTTTACTTTTACACTCTCATTCGTAGCCTGACCTCACCCACCCACTGCTGTAAGACCCTCCCCATAATTCTCAGCTTACACACATTATCAGCTGCTCAGTTCTGGCAGCCACACAGATTACACTACATCCAGTGAGTTCCCTGTGTTTTGCAGAATGAGATGTTGCATAACTGCAACTAGCAACACCTAAATAGCAACAGTAGGCACACACATGTGTCCTTGCTCCAATAGAGGGGATAGCAATGACTAATATTGAACCAGCCATGACTGCGAACATGGCAAGTGGCAAGATTGAAACGTTGAAGCTGACTCTATGTCCATACTTAATCCACAGTTTTGCACCCCACTTCTCCCTCATCCCACAATTGTATCTGATTCCAAATCTGCACTATGTGTAAACATACACTTCTTGCTTTCTCTCCTACCTTATCCCTCTGCAACCCTGCCTTTGAGTTTTCTCCATTTAGATATCTAAAAAATATCACCTCCTGAGGCACAGTTGGAGCAGCCAAAGTCTTAGGAAACTGATGATGATAAAGCACTAACACTCAATCTCATCCTCTCAGCCTTTCAAATACTTGCATTATGCACACTTTAGAGATTGATGTCTGACCAGCCACCACACGATAATATCATAAATCTTTAAACATACATTTTCTAAAAGCTACATTTTTCAAAGGTGGAAAGTGAAGATTCCAAGGATCATCAGTCATCTTTTGGATATTAAAAAACTATCTTATTACCAGAGAGAACAAAGGAGTACTCCTTTGAACATGATTTACTTTGGCCAGACCTCAAGGTAGTCAAGGCCCCTGAATATCTTAATTGTAATGATGCTGATGTGCTACTGTGAAAGTGTGGGTAAGTTGAACAAATTTTCATTAACCTCCAGGGTAAATGGTAAGAAAGAAAATAACCTTTTTTTTATTCTAAACAGACTAACGCTTGATACTGGATAATTTCAATTGAGTCAATCACTTCAAGAGTAAGAAAATACACACATTCACATACAATGGTCACATAAAGAGGCACACATAAAATTTGGCAGTGGTATTAGAAAGAGACAAGACTGCATGTGCTGAATCTCAAGGTATGAGTGACTAGCAGCCAAGGTAGAAGGAAAGGGTGTCATAGCTGCCGACACCCCACATACGTAGCCTGTTGCAGGGGACTCAAATGAAGACTTTAATGAGATAGCACACAGAAAAGGGCTGATGACATCCATTCAGAGAGATGTGGTAAATTGATAAGCCTTCTAGAAAATCTTCTGTTCCTGTCAAAGAGCATGAAGGAGTCCAATACTAACTTGTCTGCAGATTTGTACTCTGAACCAGGAGCTAGCTCAGGAGTGGTGCCCAAATCCATGAGAAAACTTGCAGATCCAAACATGATGCACCACCTGATATTTTAGCTTTCAGTGTCATGCAAACAGCAGCTAGCCAAAATCTGTCTGTAGTGGAGATTCAGGCTGAGAGTTTGACATCAGTGTTTGTTTCTGTATAGGCTGCAACTGTTTTCGTATAGCTATGAATGTCCATGCTCAAAAGGACCAAGCATAACTTTATAGCAGTGACAGATTATCAGGATTGCTGAGGTGTTGCCCAGAGGGAAGTGCAATGACTTGACGAGAGGAGGCAATGACCTAGAGGTATTATCACCAGACTATTAATCTAGATGTGCAGGTAACATTCTGTGGACCTGGGCTTGAATCCTTCCACATAGCAGATGGAGTAATTTGAATTCAATAAAATTCTGGAATTAAGATTCGAATGATGACCATGAAACCATTGTCGAAAAAACCCCTCTGGTTCACTAATGTCCTTTAGGGAACGAAACTTCTGTCCTTATTGATCTGGCCTACATGTGACTCTAGAACCCACAGCAATGTGGTTGACTCTTAACTGCCCAATCAATGAGGGATGAGTAATAAATGCTGGCCCAACCAGTGGCACTCATATCCCATGAATGGATGAAAAAAGGATTGCAAGTTTCTGCTTTGAGCACGGCATTATTTGTTTCACCACTGGCACAACAACTGTGCTCTTGCTACTGTCTGTCAACTGTCCAGCCTGCTGCCCATGACAAGGTTATGGCAGCCCGGCTGGATCAGTACCCTATTCACCAAGTGAAACATTCACTTTCTCCACCATTGCAGAATGGCCTTAGCATTTGCATAAATCAAAATCACTAATCAAAGTTCCTTAAGCAGCACTTTCAAACCCACAGCAAGTGAACATGTGAACATCACTACCTGCAAGTTTCACTCCAAGTCACACAACATCCTGACCTGGAAATATATCGCTGTTCCTTCACTGTTGCTGGGCTAAAAATAAATCCTGATATGAATTATAATCTAAAATGTTGGGGTTATGAGATCTGAGGATATAATGCCTGCAGTGGAGCTCGGACCAAGTTACAACAGCCATGCTCCCATTCTAACGGGATCACACTCTCAGCTCTCATTGGGAGGCTGACCAATTTTCAAAACTCAATATGGGTTAGAGTGAGACACAGTTTAGGAAGCACTGGTGTAGAATCTTTGCAGCTGTGGTACATCTTTGCATTTAGATGCAGCAGTACGACTGTGCAGCGAATGATAATGAGAAATTCTGCCGTCCTGCACACTTCACCTGCACCTATCTGATCAGAAAGTAGATAATGTACTCACTTCTCCTGGTATAAAGAACACCAGGCACCTCATTTGTGTAGTAACACATAGTGCTGTGGGCTTTGCTTAGTTGGCTGGGTGATTGATTTATAATGCAGAGTGATGGCAACAGAACAGATTCAATTCTGGGCCAGTGGGCTGAGGAGTGGCAGATGGAGTTTAGTTTAGATAAATGTGAGGTGCTACATTTTGGAAAGGCAAATCAAGCCAGGACTTGTACACTTAATGGCAATGGCAAAGGTCCTGGGGAGTGTTGCTAAACAAAGACACCTTGGAGTGCAGATTCATAGTTCCTTGAAAGTGGAGTCGCAGATAGACAGGGGAGTGAAAAAGGTGTTTGGTACGCTTGCCTTTATTGGTTAGTGCATTGAGTATAGGAATTGGGACGTCAAGTTGCTGTTTTACAGGACATTGGTTAGGCCATTTTGGAATACTGTGTTCAATTCTGGTCTCCCTGCTATACGAATGATATTGTGAAAGTTGAAATGGTTCAGAAAAGATTTACAAGGATGTTTCCAGGGTTGGAGGGTTTGAGCTTTAGGAAGAGAATGAATAGGTTGGGACTATTTTCCCTGGACCATCGGAGGCTGAGGGGTGACCTTGTAGAGGTTTATAAAATCATGAGGGACATGGATAGTGTGAATAGCCAAGGTCTTTTCCCTGGGTTGGGGGAGCCCAAAACTAGAGGGCATAGGTTTAAGGTGAGAGGGGAAAGATTTAAAAGGGACCTAAGGGGAAAGTTTTCACACAGAGGGTGGTGTGCGTGTATGGAATGAACTGCCAGAGAAAGTGGTGGAGGCTGATACAATTACAACATTTAAAAGGCATCTGGATGGGTATACGAATGGGAGGGGTTTAGAGGGATGTGGGCCAAATGCTAGCAACTGGGATCAGATTAATTTAGGATATCTGGTCGGCATGGACGAGTTGGACCAAAGGGTCTGTTTCTGTGCTGTACATCTCTATGACTGTAGGACTATAATTCCCACATTAGCGGTCACCATGAAGGACCCTCCTTCTCTACCTCGCCTGAGGCATGGTGATC